ATAGAGACAGAAAGCGAGAAATCACCCCCCAGGGGGGATGGTCACGCCGCAATCCCTTCTCCTCCATTCTCCTCTCAGGATCTTGGGCACGTACACACTCGCGCCTGGCGTGAGCTTTAAGCCACGGGGTCCGGGACGCGAACCGCGGTCGACTACGTGGGAGTCCAGCGACATAGCCATTACGCTAACTGCTGGTTCCCTCTTTCTCTTTTTTTTAGACAGGGTTTTGCTATGTCACAATCCTCCTGTCTCCTCAGCCTCCCAAGTAACTGGGACTACAGGCACATGCCACAGCCACCAGCTTTTTCAGTTGGGCAGGGAATCGTGGTCTCCCATGTTGCCTCATTCTGCTGAGTAGCAGTGTCAACTAGCATGTACTACCATGGCTGGGCCTGTCAGTATCTTTTAATTTCTATAATTCTGTGGCATTACTGGTAAAGAGGAAAGGGTGGAGGGCAACTCTGTGTGGATGAAAGTACTTTAAAACTAAGAGGCCCTTACAGATATTATCCAGATTAGGCTTAGAAATTATATTCAATGTCACCATAGTTATGTCATAACTTTCACAATTCAACTTGCATTTAAACAGTTATTAAAGTGGTAATCATTGAGGTTTTTATTTCTAATTTCTTAGAAACTTGGCTCAGTTTCTGAGTTATTTATTTTATTATTTGAGAGTAATCTTTAAGTCTTTAAATTCTGTGAAATTATTTAAATTGGGCATTTTTAAAATTTTGAACTCTAAATTCTTAAGAATCAGTCATACTACAATAAACATAGACTTATTATTCCTTAGATATGATCCAAACATTTTATTATTATTACTTTGTTTTGTGACAGCATGCAAGACGACAGCATAGAAGCTTCTACATCTATATCTCAGCTTCTAAGAGAGAGCTATTTAGCTGAAACCAGACATCGGGGAAACAACGAGAGGAGTCGAGCAGAGCCTTCCTCCAACCCTTTCCATTTCGGCAGTCCTTCTGGGGCTGCTGAAGGAGGAGGCCAAGATGACCTTCCAGATCTTTCAGCCTTTCTGAGTCAAGAAGAATTAGATGAAAGTGTCAATCTGGCAAGATTGGCCATCAATCATGACCCTTTGGAGAAAGCTGATGAAGCTCAAGCTAGAAAACGTCTTTCTTCTGATCAGATGAAATACTTATCTAAACCAAGCTTTGAGCCTAACTTCTGCCAGGATAACCCTCGAAGTCCTACCAGCTCTAAAGAGAGCCCCCAGGAGGCAAAAAGGCCACAGTATAGTTCTGAAACCCAGTCCAAGAAAGTATTCTTAAATAAGGCTGCCGATTTCATCGAAGAGCTATCCTCTCTTTTCAAAGCCCATAGCTCCAAAAGGATTAGACCTCGTGCTTGCAAAAACCACAAGAGTAAATTGGAATCTCAAAGCAAAGTTATGCAGGAAAACAGTGCCAGTTTCTCAGATCTGTCAGAAAGACGAGAACGATCTTCTGTTCCCATCCCTATTCCCGCAGATACCCGGGATAATGAAGTGAATCATGCCCTTGAACAGCAGGAAGCCAAGAGGCGTGAAGCTGAGCAGGCTGCCAGTGAGGCAGCTGGTGGAGACACCACCCCAGGGTCTTCACCTTCATCTTTGTACTATGAAGAACCTCTGGGGCAACCTCCCCGGTTCACTCAAAAGTTACGGAGCAGGGAAGTTCCAGAAGGAACCCGAGTACAGTTGGATTGCATAGTGGTAGGAATTCCACCACCGCAAGTAAGGTAAAAATGCCCCATTAGTAATGTTTGATTGTCTCTTTCTATCAACCATGATCTTCCTAAACAATATCTTTCAATTATATGATTTCCAAAATTATATACTCTCTTTATGAAAAGCAGTGTCTAAAGAGGCTCTGTGACATAGAAATATAATATCATTCATGTATATAATTTAAAATTTTTTAGTAGCCACACTTTGTTTTCTCTCCCTTTCTCTCTATTTTTTTAATGTTTCTGCCATAGAATGTGTGTGCTCCCCAGAGAGAGAGAGTGAGAGGGAAAGTAAGAAGTTGTGTCCTGGGGTGATGGCGTTGTGTCCTGGGGTGATGGCCACACCACAATCCCTTCTCCCTCCATTCTCTTCCTGGGATCTGGAGCCCACACACACGTGCACCTGGTGGGATCTTCAGGCCACCAGGTTCAGGACCTGAACCATGGTCAGTCATGTGGGAGTCTAGCGCTGTAACCGCCATGCCACCTGCTGGCCTTTGTAGCCACATTTTATAAAAGTAAAAAATACTGGGTAAAAGTAAGATTTATAACCTATCTAATCAATGTATTATAAACATTATCACTTCAACATGTAATCAATATAAGAAATTTCAGAGAGATTTTTGCCATAGGGCACAGGTGCTCACTGGAGACACAGACAGAAAGCGAGAAATTACCTCCCAGGGGGTGGCCATGCTCTAGTCTCTTTTCCATTTTCCTCTTGGGATTTTGGGCACATATGCACACTTGCCCAGCGTGAGTTTCAACTTGAACCACAGTCAACCACGTGAGAGTTTAGTGATGTAACCATTATACCATCTGCTGGTCCCAATATAAGAATTATTCATAAAATATTTCACATTCTTTCCATCATACCAGGGATTCAAAATCCAGTGTGAATTCTACACTTACATTACATCCCAGTTTGGATGCTAAATTTTCTTAGGAAAATCATCATCATTTACGTTTCATAAAATTAATAGTTGAAAGGGATCAGTTGGTGGTGTGGTGGTTGAAGTGTTGGACTCCCACATGGGCAACTGCAGCTCAAGTTCCAGACCTGGTGACTTGCTTTCTCACTCTCCCTCTCTATCTCTCTCTGGTCAAATTGAAGATGAATGATAATAAATAAAATTAAATAAATTTTAAGATAGAATTAAAAAAAATTATAGTTTAAAAAGTAGATTGACATATCCATCTTGTTCTAAACATATTTAAAAACTTTGCAATATGGAATTGATTCTCTGTGGAAAAATGTAAAAATAAATAAATAAGTGAAAACATTTTAATTCAGTAACACTTAATAAAACTAAATATTCAGTCCTCTAGTTGCAATAGTCACATTTCAAGTTACCAAAAACCATGTATGACTGATGACTACAATATTAGACAATGCAGGTCTGCTTACAAAAATGAAAGTATTTGGGGCTGGCAGATGGTGTGGTGGTTGAGGGCGCTGGACTCACACATGGCCAACTACACAGTTCGAGTCCCAAACCTGGCGGCTTGCTTTCTCACTTTCCCTCTTCTCTCTCTACCTCTTTCTGGTCAAATTGAAAATGGTAATGATAAAGTTAAATAAAATATATATTTTTAAAGTATTTAATATTTCTACTAAAAAATATTTCTGGTATTTTCTGAATTTTAAAGAAAGCCAAATGGGGAGACCAGCAGATGGCATAATGGCTACATTGCTGGACTCCCACCTAGTCGACTGTGGTTCAAGTCCTGGACCCAGAGGTTTGAAACTCACGCCAGGCACATGTGCGTGCATGCTCAAGATCCTGAAAGAATGAAAGAGAACAGATTGCAGTGGAGCCATCCCCCTGGGAGTGATTTTTCACTTTCTGTCTCTCTCTTTGACTCTATAGATAGCGTATATACCCTATAGCAAAAAATCTCTCACAAAAAATTTCTTTAAGCCTAATGACATGTTAAAGACTGATGGAATAAAACTATGGCTAAAGTCAATTCAAAGACTAATTTTACCTGTCTTAAGTTTGTTATAAACTTTCAATATCAGCTTAATGAATGTAATTCTCCCTGATACCAAAAATCTGTCTAATATGACTGATGGTTGTAGAGGATCTTTATGTGCCTACCAGAATCACTTTTCTGTGGGGTAAATGAAGTATAAACTTTAGGGTTACTCAACTGTATAAGCTATATCTACTTTCCTGATCCAATTTTATTTTATTTTTTACATTTTTTATTTTTTGCCAGAGGGCACATGTGTTCTCTAGAGGCTGATAAAGAAAGCGAAAAAGTGAGAAAACGCCCCTCCCCATGGGGAATGGTCACTCCACGATCCCTTCTCCATTTCTCCTTTCAGCATGTTTCTCAAGCCACCAGGTCTGGGATACAAACTGGGCAGATGGCCATGTGTGTTCCAGCTACCCTCACCACCACATCATGGGCTGGCCATTATTTTATTTTTTATGGAGTCCTTCTACATTTATTAACTTCAGATCCCGCAAAACCTGGAACCAGCCTTAGCCCCCAGGATAACATTTGCTATCTTTTACATTATACTTTAATCATGCATGAATACTATGGTTGACAGGTATTACTTTTGTAGATAATTGCTGGTATTTAGAGTTCTATAAGAGTGCTTTGCCTCCTTAACTACCTAATTACTAGCAGAATATGACTGCATTACCATTTAATGTTTATTCTCTGTATGTAAATAAGGTCTCATTTTTTCCTTACATAATATTTATTTACAGGACAATAACAGTACTCATATTAAAAATAGCATTTTTATTTATATATGATTATTAATTCAGGGGTTCTGACTCAGAGACATAGTCATATATTAAATTTTACTTTTCAAAAACAACACGAGGCAATATCAATACTATTTCTACAATGGCATATACTTTTATTATCAGGTTATCCAACTGACCTCCTTGATGACAGAGGGTCTATTGTTTTTGCCTTTGTATTTTAACTAATAATCACCTGGAAATGTTGAATGAACTAATGAGTAAAGAAACCGGCAAATAAGAAATGCAACTTAGATTAAATCAGGAGTGAGACAGTCAGCCTATGATGTGACCAACGGTTGAAATTGAAGAAGACAGGGCAGTATCTGCCCATCTACTCTAAATGTGCTTGGTGATAGTCCCTGGGATTTTGATCAGTAATGCTGGTGAGCCGTCATTACAATGCCATGACAGATACAACTCCATGGCATCTGGTCAGTCTAAGTGAGCCAAAGAGCATTCAAGTTATAGTGTACTATACACAACTTCTATTAATCCTGCCCAACCTACTAGTTTCTGGGCATAGGCTTGTCAAAAAAAAAAAAAAAGACCAGATCATTCTATATTTATACTCCTCATTTCTCAACCATCGCAATATCATATACAAGAAAAATTCAGTGCTCCACTGAGAAAAATCAACCAGGAAGAGCTATAATGTACCTATTCCCCCCCCAAAAAAGTAATCTGATGGTCACTCAGAAACTACTTATTTAGCCAACTAAAAATTTACAAATCTAGGGGCTTCTAAGTGGCATGGTGACTGAGACACTGGACTCCCACAGGGACTACCAAAGTTTGAGTCTGGGACCTGGCAGTTTGCTTTCTCACTTAGGCTCTCTCTCTCTCTCTCTGTCTTTCTGGTGAACACACATGCCCTGTAGCAAACTTTAAAAACAATGATAATGATAAATAAAATTAAATACATATTTTTTAAAAATTTACAAATCTACAAATTTGAAAGTAAAAGTAATGTATACAGCTTCCATATAGCAATAGTAATTTTACCTGGAAAGAATTTCTTTACTGATAGAATTTATGTGTGTATCTCAAACACTGGTTTAATGTCAAGAAATTAGTAGGTATTCACTAAACATTTTCTGAATGATTTAATATTTAATTTCATGACTACAATTAAATTAAGAAAAAAATTTAATTTTCCAGGTAGATTATTAGCTGTCATTATTTTCCTAAGCACAGAATTTATGTAACTCAATTGAAAAGCAAATATTTATTTAGTTTTTTTCCCTAGGGTTAAAAAAGGATGATTAGATCTTTCAAAGTTTTGGTAATTCCATCTCATGGTGCCTTCCCACAGATCTAACGAACATTCCTCTGAGTAAAGCAAAACCACAGAGATACCCTAAAAGGTGTTTCCAATAATGTAGATCTATAGGAAGAGCCCCATTAGGACACACACCTCAACTATTTAGTTTTTCTATGTCCTTAGCACTGTAATCAATGCAATGACAGACACAACATAAATATGTGTCCCTGCCTTCAAGGAGCTTGCAACTCAATTAAAGAAACTGCTGATTTTTATAGTACAAACCGTAAGTATGACCAGACATCAGGGACTGGCTGAAGAACTAAAAACGTCAAGAAAGGTTTCAGACACATAGGGTGATTTTAGTTGAACTTTGAACAACGAGAAAGATTTAAGTAGAAATTTGCTCACTTATTCATTGAACAAATACCTACTGAATGACTAAAATGATTCATTGGGATTATAAAACAAATGTGAGCTATTAAAGGTCAAGGAGCCTGTTTTGAAACCAAGTCTAAACTACTCTAAGAAGGTAGCTCATGATCTCTAGTAAAGAAATTGGACAGCTGTCTAACCAAGACACTGCAAAATTGTGTAGCGAAGGGTATAACAGAGGTATGTAGAGGACCCAATGATGATGGCTCAAGGGGATGTGTAAGCTACTTTGCCTAATGGCAAGATAAAGGAAACATTAATACGGGAGGTGGAGAAGCACAAGGGTGGAAGGGAAAAGCAAAGCAAAAGCCCGGGGGCATGTGTTTTCAGGGAACTACAGTACTTGACTATATCAAGAACCTGCGGTAACAAGTTAGAAAGAATTAGAGACAAGAGTGAAGATAGGCAGAAGGTTGGGTTCTTTCTGATCAGGTCAACTCAACATGTTTATATGAGGGCATAGACGCTGGAAGTATAATAATGTTTTTATATGATAGGAAGGAGACGGGCCTAGGAAAGGAGAGTCAAGCCAAAAGATTTTAAAGAACCTTGAAGGCAAAGAAGAAAAGTTCGGACTTGGTTTCAAAACAAATTGGAAAGCACTTAGGCTATATATAGGGAAGCAACAAGATGAAAGGGCGCATTTAAGAGAATTGGTCTAGAAGAATAATTTAGATCAGAAAGAACAGAATGATGAAGCCACTTATAAAGCTGTGGAAGGAATCCCAGGCATCAAGTGCTCTGGTGGGCCTGGAATGGATAAAATGAGAATGAGAAAAAAGATGTTAGTGAGTGATATTTAGGGGGGAAATTTTTAAGCTAAATTTGGTGACTGACTACCCAGGAAAAATGAGTGTTTTAGACCATTTTCTGTTGCTGACAAGTGAATGCCATACTGAGTAACTGGAAAAGAATAGAGGTCTATTCAATGCACAGTTTTAGAGGTCTAAGGTCAAGGAGTCATATCTGGTAAAGGTCTTCTCACTGGTTCGGACTCTGAGTCCTGAGGTGGCACAGGACATCCCATGTCAAGAGCTTACATATCTGTATGGGTGTATCTGTCTCCGTGCCCTTGTCTCTCTCCTTATTAAACCTGCTTCTACCCTGATGACCTTATATAACACTAATTACTCCCAATGACCTCACCTTTCTTTCTTTCTTTTTTTTATAGACCACAGATTAGTTTATTTTTAACATCCATCATACCATGAATTCATAGGGAATAGGTTCCAGAAGCTCAGGCCCCTTTCCATTGGTTCTCACAAAGTGTGCTTCTCTGGGTGGAGCAGGCTGGTGCTTTAGTTGAACCCAGGTACCTTTCTCTTTGGCTTCTTTCTTTTTCTGATGATTTTCCTTTACACACTTTAGGAAACTATCTCTGCTCTTAGAATGCTTAATATGCTCAATATGCACATTTATTCTCTTGGCAAGAATCTTGTCCTTAACTTGTTTGTTCACAACAATGCCAACAGCATACTGGGTAACACTGTAGACTCTGCCAGTTTTGCCATGATAACATTTGTGGGGCATTCCTTTTTGAACAGTACCCATTCCCTTAATGTCTACAATATCACCTTTCTTGTAGATTCACATATATGTTGCAAAGGAACCACTCCATGTTCTCTAAAAGGCCTAGAGAACATATATCGGGTGCCTCTCCTCTTTCCCGTTGTGTTCGTCATTTTGGTTAATTACTGGAAGATGGTGGTTCCGGCCAAAAGGATGACCTCACCTTTCAACACAATAGTTGGGTTAAGCTTTCACCCTCTTAATCCCGTCACAAATTTCAACACATGAATTTAAGGGCAGGGGGAACATATTCAAACGATAGCAATTAAAAAAAATGCTCCACAAGTTTGAAGTTGGGTACATAAAAGAAAGATGATTATTTGCAAGGACCAAGAAAATGAAGTGTCTGATTTTTGGAGGAGGCTGATGGGGATTTGAGTCTGAGGCAATGAGGACCTATATCAATTAGGTAGTCAGAGGAATAGGACTAAAGTTCAAAGGAGAGAGTAGTGAAACTAGAGGCAGTTCAAGGAGCAACCTGTGACACAATATCTCTGTAATTACAAAGAGATTATATGTACAGGTAATTCCAGCACCAACAGGAAATGTGGGTTCAGACCAGTTCTAGAGTGCTAGAGTGTTTTCCACCCTTTTATTCACAGTAACTCTCCCACACCCCACATACACACAAAAGCCTTTACATTTACCCCAATACATAGTACACATACACACTTTGTTTTTTGAGTGAGAGAATGATTTTTGCATAGGGTGTGTGTGCTCTCTGATGAGAGAGACAGAAAGTAAAAAATTACCCTACCTAAGGGGATTGGCCATGCCACAATCTTTTCTCCTCCATTCTCCTGTTGGGATTTTGGGCACATAGGCACACATACCTGGCATGTGTTTCTAAGCCACTAGGTCTGGGCCTCGAACCACACTCAACCACATGGGAGTTCGGTGCCTAAACCACTATGCCACCTGCTGACCCCCACATACATTTTTTATTTTCAGAGAGATTTTTGCTATAGGGCACATGTGCTTGCTGGAAAGATAGAGAGAGAGAAAGCAAGAAACCATCTCCCAGGGTGATGGCCATGCCTCAATCCCTTCTCCATTCTCCTTTCAGGTCTTGGGCACACACACAAATGTGCCTGGCATGAGTTTTAAGTCGCTGGGTTTGGGACTCAAACCATGGTCGACTATGTAGGAGTCCAACAACATAACCACTATGCCATCTGCTGGTCCTGCCACTCGCATTTTTAACATTAAATTAGTGCTGTTGGATTTAAAGAGGGGTGAGGTGGAGGGAGCCTGGAGTCCTATCTGCTCATCACCGAAACTCCTGGACCCAGGAGCAAAGAGTTTGATCCAGAGAATTTCTTCTTAGAAATGCATTAAAGTGGGGCCAACAGGTGGCGTGGTAGTTAAGATGCTAGACTCACATGCCAGCTGTGATTTGAGTCCTAAACCTAGCAGCTTGAGAATCATGTGAGTGTCTGTGTACATGCCCCAAATCCCAAGAGAATGAAGAAGAAAGATTTGTGGTATGACCATCCCTTCGAGGATGATTTCTCATTTTCTCACTTTCCCTTTCACTGTCTCATGCCCCATGACAAAAAAAAAGAAAAAAAAAAAAAAAAAAGGCATTAAGGGAACCAGCAGTTAGCGTAATGGCTGTATCGCTGGACTCCCACGTAGTTGACCGCGGTTCGTGTCCTGGACCCAGTGGCTTAAAACTCATGCCGGGCGCGTGTGCGTACGTGCCCAAGATCCCGAGAGGAGAATGGAGGAGAAGGGATTGCGGCGTGACAATCCCCTCTGGGGGGGGTGATTTCTCGCTTTCTGTCTCTATGTCTCTCTCTCTCTGTCTGGCGAGCGCACGCGCCCTATAGCAAAAACTTCTCCATAAAAAAGAAAAGAAAAGAAAAGAAAAAGGCATTAAAATAGTATGTTCTATCATATAGGAACTCTACAGTCAATAAGAATGCCTTTTTGGTATTCTTAGCAAGAAAATTTATGAAGTATACTGGGAAATGAAGCTTAACATTGTATCTTCACATACTCCTGTATATAATCAGTATTTAACCCAGATTTTTCTTAGTTTAGCAAGTTGAAATATTATTTTTGCTTACCCTTTTGATTTCCAAGTTAACTGAGTAGAAGTCATTTTATAAGTAAGGGTTGGATGCTATACCACTGAAGCAAACGTTTTGGAAAGTTTATTAATCTTAGATGAAGCTTAAGTACATCTAAGATTAAGTTGTAATCTTAGAAGTTGTCTTAAAAAATGAAGTATTTGGGACCAGCAGTTAGCATAATGACTATGTCACTGAACTCCCATGTAGTCTACCGCAGTTCGAGTCCCGGACCCGGTGGCTTAAACTCATGCAGGGCACGTGTGCGTACGTGCCCAAGATCCCAAGAGGAGAATGGAGGAGAAGGGATTGCGGCATGGCCACCCCCTGGGGGGCGATTTCTGGCTTTCTGTCTCTCTGTCTCTCTCTCTGTCTTTCTGGTGAGTGTACGTGCCCTATAGCAAAAACCTCTCAAAACAAAAAAAAAAAAAGAAAGAAATAGTCAACATAAACCAGTGCTACCCACAGATGTAAATGTCTACAGAAATTCACAACAAATGTGCATAAATATTCTTGCATTCTGATTACAAATTCTTTTCCCAGAAAAGTATAGCTAGGTCATGCTTTGTTTCCTTGTACTTGACCTTCTGAGACAGCATGAATTTACCTTTTATAGATGTTGATAACTGCTATGGCTGTTAAGTTGTAGTATTGCTGCTTCTGGACATTTGTCTGCAAGTAAGATGCAGAGGAAAGAAAAAGAAAACATAAAAAAGAAAGAAAAAGATAAATTAATAGAATTCCATCTTACATTATTTAGCGGCTTTTTCTTCTACCTCTTAGAAAACATTTCGATACCTTCATTTATTCATTCACTCATCCGACAAATATTAAGTGCCTATTTATGTGCTGTGCGCTGTGACACATAAATCAGTGAACAAAGACAGATTTCCTGTCTTCATGGAGCTGAGAGTCTAGTAAGGGACATAGATAATAAACAGAAATTCTACAAATTATATAACTACAATTGCGATAAATGTTATAAAGAGGAGAGTATATGGCAAAGGGTCCAAACCTTGTGAGTGGATGGAAGAAGTTTTCCCAGAAAGCATTACTAATGCTGAGAGACATAAAAGATGA